CTATTTATTTCAAAAGCCCCTTCCCCTCCCCCTTTTCTGATGAAGGGTCTAGGCCCGAAACGTCAGCCTCTCTGCTCCTATGATGCTGCTTGGCCTGCTGTGTTCATCCAGCCCTGCACCTTGTTGTCTCAGATTCTCCAGCATCTGCAGTTCCTACTATCTCTCATTGTCATTAAAGTGTTTGTTTTTGTTGGAAAGAACTTTTTTAAAAGATTTCTTGAAGGACAACTCAATAAACATAGAAACATAGAAGACTGGAGCAGGAGGAGGTCATTTGGCCCTTCAAACCTGCTCTGCCATTCTTCACGATCATGGCTGATCACCCAACTCGATAGCCTAATCCTGCTTTCTCCCCATAACCTTTGATCCCATTCACCCCAAGTGCTATATCTAGCTGCCTCTTGAATACATTCAATGTTTTGGCATCGACTACTTCCTGTGGTAATGAATTCCACAGGCTCATCACTTTTTGGGTGAAGAAACGTCTCTTCATCTCCGTCCTAAATCATCTACCCCGAATCTCATACTGTGACCTCTGGTTCTGGACACACCCACCATGAGGAACATCCTCCCTGCATCTATCATGTCCAGTCCTGTTAGAATTTATAAGACTCTATGAGATCCCCCCTCGTTCATCTGAACTGTGGCGAAAACAATCCCAAACTAGTCAATCTCTCCTCATACCTCAGACCTGCTATCCCTGGAATCAGCCTGGTAAACCTTCACTGCCCTCCCTCAAAAGCAAGAGTATCCTTCCTCAGAAGAGGAGACCAAAACTGCACACAATATTCTAGGAGTGGTCTCACCAAGGCCCTGAACAACTGCAACAACACATCCCTGCTCCTGTAGTTGAAACTTCTAGCAATGAAGGCCAACATACCATTTGCCTTCTTTACTGCCTCCTGCACCTGCATGCTTATCTTCAATGATTGGTGCACAAGGACACCCAGGTCCCATTGCACACTTCCCCTCTCCCAATTTATAGCCATTCAGGTAGTAATCTGCCTTCTTGTTTTTGCTTCCGAAGTGAATAACCTCACATTTATCCAAATTATACTGCATCTGCCCATTAATTTGTCCACTCACCCATTAATAAACACATAGAGCTAGACCCCCAAATACACTCCATTGCGAAGGAAAACCAGAAGTGAGGTAATCCAGCTCAACAGGCACCAGAGTTTAAATAACAGTGGGAAAACATGACAGTGCTTCATTGGAGGCTGCACTGATGATGTTACCCAGCAGGGTAATGAAACGTCTGCAGAACAATGAACCAGCTTGGCGAGCCAACCAACCGCAACATTCACAACCTGAGCTACAAATCTACTCTAAAATCTAACAGCATATTTGTCGAAGTTGTTTAAAATCATGAAGTTTGTGGACAAGGAAACAAAAACATTTTCCAGTCACTGAATGGTCAATAACCGGAAGGCACAGATTTGAGTGGACTGATAAAAGAACCAGAGTTGACATGAGATCAATGCTTTATTCAAACATTAGTTTGGACTTGGAACACACACACACCATGGTAGGGTGCAGATACATAGTTAGTGGTAACCATTAAAAGGTAACTGGATAAATACTTGGAAGAAAAACAAATTGCAGAGTTATGGAAAACAGTAGGGGATGGGATTAAGGGATTTATCTTTGAAACAACTAGCACATAATTTATGGGTCACATGCTTTCTATGCAGTACTATTCTATGCTTGTAATGCAGTAAAAGATTTGAAAGTACTTCACGGAAACAATTAGACACAATTTGTCACCAAGTCAGAGGAGCTATTTGGACCAAAATAGATAGGTCTTAACAGAAACCTTAAAAGGAGGAGACAGAGGCAGAGAGCCATGGGAAGGATTCCAGAGTTTAGAGACTAGTAGCTGAAAGCACAGCCATTGTCGCTGAAGCAAAACAAATTAGGGACCCACAAGAGGCTAAAACTGGAAGAGCTCAGAGACTGACTTTTGCATCTGGAAGCAAGTATACTTCCATGATCCTAATACTGAGGTTGCCCTCAAACTTTCACAATGTTAGAATCCACTCTATACCAACTATAGTCAAGCAACCACCTTTTTTCTTACCTGATTTGAGTTCGATGGGAGTGTTGGTATCAATTTCATTCTTGGGTTTACCAAGGAAAGGAATCCTCAACGGGATGATGTGAGGGACTGCAATGGACCCGGCCGTCATTCCTTCACAGTCACCTACAGGATGAGGCCAGAGACAATACAACAGGAGAGTGAACTTCCCAAACATTAATCCATGACAAGACCACAGCCAGAAAGCCAGGTTAAAAGGAATGTAGTTCAAAAGAGAGGATAAAGTTATTCAGGAAACTATGAATGACAGCACCTGAGTCTCACCAACAAACTGAAACTCAAGTAATTAAATTTATGAGCATAGAACCCAAAATTGTAAATAACCCCAACAATCTACACCCAATCATGTTGTTAATAATCATTTACTTCAATTATTAATATCATTACTACTACAATAATTATAAATAATTATAAATTTCTCTAGTTAATACCAGTAATTATTCACAAAGATTAGAAATAACACTGCAGATTAATATATCAAACAAATTAATAGTATCATAATGAATACTTATAATACATTGCATAAACAAGACAATGAATATTTGTTAACTCAAAGTATCAACAATTCCAATAAATATTTAAAAATTACAATGATTATCAGTAACTACATTGATTATAAATAACTCCAATTAATTCGTGATTCAATCATAACTCCAATGATGATCAATAATAGGTTTGTTTATTAATAATCCTGATTTTTCATATTAACGTGCAGGAAGTGATTATAATTATTAATGATGTAATAATTTTTTGTTCATCTCTCATTACCTTTCTGGTCAGTCATTTTATTAATGACAGAGTAGCTTGCAAGGCCATTTCAGAGAAAGTTGAAAGGTAACAGTACTTCTCTGGGTTGGAACCATATATGTACTAGACTAGGTAAGAACCACAGACTTCTTTCCCTATTGGCAAAATATCAGTAAGCCTGATGGGTTTTTACTGTACTATAATGCAGTAGTTTTATAGCTCAAATATGGGGTATAGCTTTTTCTTTACTCCAGAATGATTTAATTAACACTATTTAAATTCCCCAGCAGCCCTGGTGAGACTTAATTTCAAGGGAAGGATTTCGGCTTTTGGATCTGGACCCAGAGTGCAGTCGCCAAACGGTGATTTTTCCCAGAACTGCCAATAGATGACAAAGAGCACAATCACTGCCCAATTAAGAATGGCAGGTGGGCTGTCAACCCTTCATCTTGAAAGAAGCAGAGGCCTACTCTTGTAGGTATAGGAGAAGGTACTGTGTCTTACCGCAATCCTCTCAGAAACTTTTAAAATACTCAGGCAAAGAATAGTCAGAGCTACCGTGCGATCTGACACCTGTTTATTGGGAAGGACCACAAGACCTACCCGGAGTTGCCCACGGTGGTCTGCTAACGTGAGGCCACCTCCAGGTAACAGGCCTGTCCCTGTCGCTGTGGGATGGGATGAGGTGAGGGCCATAAGGCGGCTGAAAAAATCCAGTCAGCTTCTGGTAACTGACCTTTCACTTACATTTAATGGTCTACTCCCCAAAACCCAAAGGTGCTAGCAAATTGACTGGCTGGCCAGCACCACGTACCCAACTGATGTCCCCTTCCCCCCAAAGCCCACTCCAGTATAGATTCAGTTTTGTATTTCTGGCTCTTACGCCCAGATCTCGGGATTAATAATCCAGTAATATAATCCACCTCGACCCCCTTCTTGTGTCAATTACTAATTATATTTTAGTACTTCATAAATAATAAACCCACCCAGCCTTAAGCGAACTCTCTCCAGGTGCCACTTTGCACAAACACCACAGCCTCGCTCCTAGCAACGCCGGCACTCAGCGGCTGCGGCTCCTCCGATGGGTCAGCCCCGTCGCCTGGCAACTACCACAAGCAATCAAATCAACTCTTACAGCGGCATTAACAACGGAGCACCGGTGAAGAACGCACGCGCAGTTAGAGTTTGGCCGAAGTGTTGGGTGAGGGGATCCAGGTGTGCCCAGGTAGACGCGGGGAAGACCCAAACTCAGACCTGATTGGTTACAGTGACCAGGGAATACATTTAAGTCCATCCCATCAGTTCTTTCCTAAACCTAGGCCAATTGATATGACTGCAGAGATAAAGAACTCTGACACAGGCATTCAGAACTGACCAGTCTTCTGCATTAAGGGATAACAAGGTGTAGAGCTGGATGAACACAGCAGGCCAAGCAGCATCAGAGGAGCAGGAAAGCTGACGTTTCGGGCCTAGACCCTTCTTCAGAAATGGGGGAGGGGAAGAGGGTTCTGAAATGAATAGGGAGAGAGGAGACAGACAGGTCAAAGAGGCAGGGATGGAGCCAGTAAAGGTGAGTGTAGGTGGGGAGTTAGGGAGGAGATACGTCAGTCCAGGGAGGACAGACAGGTCAAGGGGGCGGGATGAGGCTAGTAGGTAGGAGATGGGGATAGGTGGGAGGAAGGACAGGTTAGGAAGGCGGGGACAAGCTGGGCTGGTTTTGGGATGCAGTAGGGGGAGGGGAGATTTTGAAGCTTGTGAAGTCCACATTGATACCATTGGGCTGCAGGGTTCCCAAACGGAATATGAGTTGCTGTTCCTGCAACCTTCGGGTGGCATCGTTGTGGCACTGCAGGAGGCCCAGGATGGACATGTCGTCTGAGGAATGGGAGGGGTAGTTGAAATGGTTTGCAACTGGGAGGTGCAGTTGTTTAGTGCGAACCAAGCGTAGGTGTTCCGCAAAGCGGTCCCCAAGCCTCCGCTTGGTTTCCCCGATGTAGAGGAGGCCACAAAGGGAACAGCGGATACAGTATACCACATTAGCAGATGTGCAGGTGAACATCTGCTTGATGTGGAAAGTCTTCTGCATTAATGTGGTGAAGCACAGTGCCCCAATGTAAAAGCTTCCCATTAGGATGAATATTGGCCACAACATTCAGCAAAGCCAAATGGGTCTTCTAAAAAAGCCATAAACCCTCCTAATCCACCCGAACAGGTAAATCATGCCTTTTTAAAGTTTTCAGCCAAAATATAGTATTTCTAAACATGTACTGTCTACTGCAAAGAGGTGCAGTCCAAATGATAGCATCTTATTTCTGACCCAGAAGTTATGGAGTCAGGTCATGAACACAATATGGTACACAGTACAGCACCATTAGGGCTGCCATCTTTCCAATAAGATGTTCAAATATGATTCAAATAAGATGTCCTGTCTACTCTCTAAAGTAAACATAAAAATATTCCATGGCATCACTGTAAAGAAGAGTAGGAGAGTTATACTCTAGTATCCTGGCTAATATTTATCCCTCACAAACAAATTAACAAGAAGATTATCAGATCACGATCCAATTTTTTTTTGGAAACTTGCTGCATACAAATTGTCTACTATATATCTTAGTTCTTACAACAGTGATTATATTAGAAAAAGTATTTCAAAAGCTGTAAAGTGCTGAAGGACAGTCTACTGTTGTGGAAGACACTATATAAATCTTTTTCTTTTTAATGCATCAACAGAAAGAGTTTTGTTTCTTCAACAGAGACCATGAATCAAACTTGGGACCTTCTGGTGTACTTATAAACATGCAAATTTAGGAGCAGGGATAGACCACTTGGCCCCTCAAGCCTGATCCACCATTCTCCAAGATCGGACTGATTTGTTTACTCCAAATTTCTACCTCACCCTAATAACTTTTCACTCCCTTGCTCATCAAGAATCCATCTACCTTTGTCTTAAACTATTCAAAGATTCTGCTTCCATTGCTTTTTAAGAATGGGCGTTCAAAAGACCTACAACACTGTGAGGAAAAAAAAGTTCTCCCCACTTCTGATTTAAATAAGTGACCCCTTACGCTGTACATTCTCCCACAAGAGGGAACATCCTTTCATATGCACCTGTTAAAACTGCTCAGGATCTTGTTTTTTGTTTCAACTGAGTCACCTCTTACTTTTACAAACATCAGTGGATACAAGTATAGCCTGAAAACAATTCTTCATAAGACAACCTGCCCATTCAAAGTTATGGGGAGAGGAGGTGGACTTCCCATCACAACCAGATCTGCCATGGTCTTATTGAATGGGGAACAGGCTTGAAGGGCTGGATGTCCTACTCTTGCTTCTAAAATTCTATTTTCCCATGGATCTGATTGGCTGCCCAGAGTTGTCTGGGTGGTTGTTGGGTCCTCTAAACTCATTTAATATTGGCAGATAAACCACCGGGTGCCAAATAGTTTTCCTATATAGTTTGCTGTATTCAGGTTTGGGCAGTTTACAGCAAGGCAGCAATGACTAATTTTATTTTTGTTGCCTCTCCTCCTCAGGATCCCACAAAATAACTGGTTCAATTACCCATGGAATTGATCACAGTGTGTGTAGAACAGGCACCAACCAGTTCCAATGTATTTAGCAACTGGAAACCCATTTAGGTTATGGGGCCCTGTTTGCAATAATAAGATGATCATTTGAATTGGGTGGGTGTTTTGGACACCTGGATGTAAGACTTTGTCAAAACATGTGCAGGTTAGGTCACTATTCCCAATTGATGTTATTACTGCTCCCCTAATTACAGATGCACTGACCCAATTCCTGCACCTAACACCTTTACTTTCCTGCAATTGTTCAATCGATACATCCCTCCTCGGACCACCATGTTCTCACACCAGCCAAAGAGTGATTGCTGTACTCAGGATCAGTAACAATAGCATGTATAAAAATAAGTAGTTTCACTGAATATAAAATATGGTAGCTAACAAGTTGATTAGAATATTTTTTGTCATGTAAACAAACTTTTGTGTCATTTCCATAATTGTTTGATGTAATTACACGACATAATACTATCTGACAGTGGGAGAAGATATCAGATTCCAAACTGCACATTTTTACTTTGAAATTTCTTCTCTATGGTAATTACATAGTATCTACACCACAGGTCACTTGACTCTTCAGATCTATACCAGCATTTATATTCAACATTAGCCTCCCTCAACTCTGATTACACTTTATCACATGACCCCAGATCCTTATATTCCATTATGAATTGGGTATGCTATAAGTCATTAAAAAGGCATGTAAATTATTTTCCTTTTTAATAGCTGAGGCATAGCATATAAGAGCAGAGAGGTTATGTTGGAGCTATATAAAACACTAGTTAGGCCAGAAATTGAGTATTGTGTGCAGTTCTGGTCACCTCATTTCAGAACGGATGTAATTGCCATCCAGTGGGCACAGAGGAGATTTACAAGAATGTTGCTGAATTGGAAAATTGCAGCTATGAGGAAAGATTGGAAAGGCTTGGGTTGCTTTTCTTCGAAGAGAGGAGGCTGATAGCAGATTTGATTGAGGTGTACAAGGTTGAGAGGGGTTTGGATGGAGAGGATGCCAAGATCCTATTTGCCTTAGCAGAATGGGGCATACATTTAAAGTGATTGGTAGAAAGATTAGAGGGGAAATGAGGAAAATGTTTCACATCCAGACATTGGTAGAGGGTCTGGAACTCATTGCCTGAAAAGGTGTGGAGGCAGAAATTTTCAACTCATTTAAAGGGTCTTTGATAGGCACTTAAATTCCCGTAACCTCCAGATTTTAAGGACCAATTGCTGGAAAATGGGATTAGACCAGTTGGCTCACTTGCCAGCAGTGTGGCCTTCTTTTGTGCCACAAACCTTTCTACATTATTGAGATATTTGAAAAGGAGGAATGTGCAGAATGTGGGTTAGGACCAGTGGAATAGCAGTATATTGAAAAGCCAACATGAACATAATAGGTTGAATGGCTTTCTCTGACGTTGTAATGATTTTATCATACAAGTCACTTCTTACATTTATCATTGATATCTGCTTCAATCATCTCATTTAGAATTTACATTCTTGGCATTTTCTGTGTAAAGGAAATCTTCTGAATACTTTATTTTACCTGTTAGTGGCTATCTTATATTTTTGCCCCCTTGCTGTATACTCACTCACAAGTGGAAACAGTTTCCCCCCGTCTGCCCTATTGAGCCTTTTTACAATTTTAAAGATCTTTACTCGGTCTACTCAGCCCTTTTTTTCTAAAATCATTGTACCTGTCTATACCAATCACTGGATCATTTTTTCTAATATCAACGTCCTGTTAATTCTGTAAATCCTATCACCCCAGTATTTTTTTTTCTGCATTTATCCAGTGCTTCACTATCCTTCCTGCAATGTGAAGACCAACATTTGGATGGAGTACTCCAACTATGCAAGCAAAGTTCAATAAAAATGTAATAATACCTGTCTGTTGTTGTTTTATTCCTTCCATAATGGACCTACGTGTTTTCTTTGTACACTTTATAGTCTTAAGAAGTTGTGTTGGTAACAACCTTCTTCAGGCTGTCTACATCTGAAGATCTGGAATTCCCTCACTAAAGCTGTGTCAAAACATTTTTTTTTCCTTTTCATTTGTGGGATTTGGGCATCTCTGGCTGGCCAGCATTTCTTGCCCATTCCTACTTGCCCTTGAGAAGGTGGTGGTGAGCTGCCTTCTTGAACGACTGCGGTCCACCTGCTGTGGGTTGACCCACAATGCTATTAGGGAGGGAATTCCAGGATTTTTGACCCAGCAACTGTGAAGGAACGGTAATATATTTCCAAGTCAGGATGGTGAGTGGCTTGGAGGTGGAAGTCTTCCCATATGGCTGATCCCCTTGTCCTTCTAGATGGAAGTAGTCATCAGTTTGGAAGGTGCTGTCTGAGAATCTTTGGTGAATTTCTGCAGTGCGTGTTGTAGGTAGTACACACTGCCGCTACTGAGCATCAGTGGTGGAGGGAGTGGATACTTGTGGATGTAGTGCCAATCAAGCGGGCTGCTTTGTCCTGGATGGTGTCGAGCTTCTGGAGTGTTGTTAGGGCTGCACTCATCCAGGCAAGTGGGGAGTATTCCATCACACTCCTGACTTGTGCCTTGTAGATGGTGGACAGGCTTTGAGGAGTCAGGAGGTGAGTTACTCGCCTTGATTGACCTTCAACAACCATGACCATCTTTCTATGTGTCAGGTATGACTCCAACCACTGGAGAGTTTGCCCCCTGATACCCATTGATTCCAATTTTGCTATGGCTCCTTGATGCCACACTCGGTCGAATGCAGCCTTGATATCAAGGGCTGTCACTCTCACCTCGCCTCTGGAATTCAGCTGTTTTGTCCATGTTTGAACCAAGGCTGTAATAATATCAGCAGCTGAGTGGCCCTGGCAGAACCCAAACTGGTGTCACTGAGCAGGTGCTCCTTGATAGCACTGTTGATGACACCTTCCGTCACTTTACTGATGACTGAGAGTAGACTGATGGGGCAGTAATTGGCCGGGTTGGATTTGTCCTGTTTTTGTGTACAGGACATACTTGGGCAATTTTCCACATTTTCGGGTAGATACCAATGTTGTAACTGTACTAGAACAGCTTGGCTTGGGGAGCAGCAAGTTCTGGAGCACAAGTCTTCAGTACTATTGCCAGAATGTTGTCAGGGCCCCTAGCCTTTGCAGTATCCAGTGTACCTTAACGCTTACTTTTTTTAACCAACATTTAGATTACCAGTGATTGATTTATTTGTATTCCCAAAAAAACTTTGTTCCTCGTCCCATCTTTTAACTTGAGAATTCGAATCTGTAATGCATTAACCTGAAGGGGTGGCGGAATCAGATTTAGGACTAACTTCCGAACGGGAATTGGATAAATAATAAAACAAAATGTAGGTGCTCTGCAGAAATAGCTTCAGGTGAGGGGAAGATGCATGGTTAAAAATTAAAAGAACCAAAAGGTTGCTGGGTTATGGTGCTCGAGTTAGTTTCAAGAAAACGGCTGTCTACGTAGTCGCTGTAATTCCATAATAAAAACTGAGTCACCACATGAAGATAAATTTAGTGATCAGCCTCTCACCATTTTAATCCGGTAAGTGTTAAATTGATGGGAGTAACTGTGTAGCTCAGCGAATTATTTACAAACATTTTATTTTTACTTTATTTTCTCTTAATCCGAAATTTCTCCCCTTTTTTTCTGTGCCTGATGTGAAATTAAACCTCAGCCACATTACACTTATTCTTCCTCACCCTTGCTCCCGTTATTAAATTTCCTTAAATCTAACTAGTGAATGAGACCCAGTTTTGTTTACAAAAACAGAGGTTGCTGGAAAAGCTCAGCATGTCTGGTGAAGAAAAATTTAGAGTTAACGTTTCGGGTCCAGTGACCCTTCCTCAGAACTCACCAGTTTTGTTTAACCTTGCTGCGCCATTAATATATCCTATGTAAAGCGACTTACCATACAAAACAAAGCTAAAACGTAAACTAAATTAATGTATTTTTAATGCATCCTTTTTCCGCTCCCAGGTTACTCCCGGAGGGATGGTGAACGTGTGGTCATATGAGTGTTCGCCCTTTGAAACAGAGTCCGCAACCAACCATTCTTGGAGCAAAAGCGCCAAGCCCTGGTTAGGCCCCAGCTCAAACTAAACAGCTGCTTCTCAGATTGCCGGAGAGGAAGAGAAGTCGAACTGGGGAAGGCTAGTCACTGAACTAAACCTGTGCCTCTTTGGTCTTTCACTATTTTCAGAACTGTCTTGTAACATACGGCAGCAGAAAACACTGCTTGTAATTAACGACGGGAAGCGAGGAGTGTAGACTGGCAAATTAATCTCTGGCCTCTTGCCCAATAAGAGATTGAGACTGCAGAATGAAAGGCCCCCTAGTTCAAGAGGCTGAAATAAGTAATTTGCTGCTGTAGATCGTTAACCCCGGAGCTGGAGGGTGAGCCTGGAATTTGGAACGTTCACGCTGAGGTTTGATACAACGTGGAACGCAAGAACTGTAATATCGGACCGAGGGGGCACGTCAACAACACTGCAGACCAGATCCGCAAACAAACACTTCAGTCGCCAATATATTGTCATGCTGTACAATTGAAATCATGGCTGACGTGAAAGTGAAGCAAGAAGCAGTAGATCCTGTGGGACTGGAAAGCAGGTAGAGTTTTTGTGTGGCTGTACTCCTCTTGTTGCTGGCTACAATGACAAGGTTGGGGCCGTTTTCGCGTTGTAAAAATTCTATGACTGAAGAAAGGTCCTCACTGACGCTGTGAAAATTTCCGTTCTTTTAAGACTTCCAGCAATGAGAGTATTTGACTTCTGTCTTCCCCGCATCTCCCAGCCGTGTTGTGTTTGTGTCTTGCTTACATTGCATTTAGTAAAAAAGGGTCAGTTCGGTCCCTTTCACGTCTCAATTCACACTTCTTGCATTTTTATTCCACTATTAACAACCCTCTTGTATTTTGCTTTGGGCCTCCATACGATCTTCACTCTCGCTCCTCGCCTGTCTATGTCAAAAGTATTAAAAAAAACTATTTTCCAGCTTTCAGTTCTGATGAAGGCATACCTGACTCAAAATGTTGACTCTTTCTCTCCACAGATGCTGAACTTCTCCAGTATTTTTTGTTTTGATGGCTTATTTATGTTGCACCTTTTGAATGTAATGGAATAACCTTAGGCACTTCACATAGACATTATATAGCAAAATATGACAGGGAGCGTCATATGATCAAAAGCTCAGTAAGGGGTGTGGGGAGTGGGAAATGATTGAGAGGCAGAGACATAGAATCATAGAGATATACAGCATGAAAACAGACCCTCTAGTCCAATTCGTCCATGCCGACCAGATATCCTAAACAAATCTAGTCCTATTTACCAGTGTTTGGCCCTAAATCCTTCCTACTCATGTACCCATCCAGATGCCATTTAAATGTTGTAATTGTACCAGCCTCCATCACTTCCTCTGGCAGCTCATTCCATACACGAACCACATTCTGCATGAAAATTTTACCCCTTAGGTCCCTTTTTAAATCTCTCTGCTCTCAACCTAAACCTATGCCCTCTAATTTTAGACTCACCCACCTGGGAATAAGACCTTGTCTATTCACCCTATCCATGCCCCTCATAATGTTATAGACCTCTATAACGTCACCCCTCAGCCTCCGACAGTCCAGGGAAAACAGCCCCAACCTATTCAGCCCCTCCCCATAGCTCAAACGCTCCAACTCTGGCAACACCCTCCTAAATCTTTTCTGAACTCTTTCTAGTTTCACAGCATCCTTCCTATTGGAGGGAAATCAGCATTGCCCACAATACTCCAAAAGTGGCTGAACCAATGTCCTGTACAGTCACAACATGACCTTCCAACTCCAATACTGAATGCACTGACCAATAAAGGCAAGCATACCAAACGCCGCCTTCACTATCCTATCTACCTGTGACTCCACTTTGAAGGAACTATGAACCTGCACTCCAAGGTTTGTTTATTCAGCAACACACCCCAGGACCTTGCCATTAAGTGTACAAATGTGGCCCTGATTTGCCTTTCCAAAATGCAGCACCTCATATTTATGTAAATTAAACTCCATTTGCCACTCCTTGGCCCATTGGCCCATCTGATCAAGATCCGGTGTACTCTGAAGTAACCTTCTTTGCTGCCCACTACACCTACAATTTTGGTGTCGTCTGTAAACTTACAAACCATATTTCCTATATTCACATCCAAATCATTTATATAAATGACAAAGCAGTTGACCCAGCTTCGATCCTTTTGGCATACCACTGGTCACAGGCCTCTAGCCTGAAAAGCAACCCTCCATTATCACCCTCTGTCTTCTACCTTTCAGCCAGTTCTATATCCAAATAGCCAGCTGATGCTGTATTCCACGTGATCTATCCTTGCTAACCAGTCTTCCATGAGGAACCTTGTCAAACACCTTACTGGCCTCTATATAGATCACATCCATCACTCTGCCCTCATCAATCCTCTTTGTTAATTCTTTAAAAAATACAATCAAGTTAGTGAGACACAATTTCCCATGCTCAAAGCCATGTTAATTATCCCTAATCGGTCCTTGCCTTTGCAACTACATGTAAATCCTGTCTCTCAGGAATCCCTCCAACAACTTGCCCACCACTGATGCCAGGCTCACTGGTCTACAGATCCCTGGCTTTTCTTTGCCTCCTTTCTTAAATGGTGGCACAACATTAGCCAACTACCAGTCTTATGACACCTCACCTGTGGCTATTGATGATACAGATATCTCAGCAAGAGTCCCAGCCATCTGTTGCCTTGCTTCCCCCAGAGTTCTAGATTACACCTGATCGGGCCCTGGGGATTTATCCACCTTTTATGTGTTTTAAGATATTCAGCACTTCCTCCTCTGAAATATGGACGTTTTTCAAGATGTTGCTATTTATTCCCCCAAGTTCTCTAACTTCCATATTCTTCTGCAGAGTGAGCACTAATGCAAAATACTCATTTAGTATCTCCTCCATCTCATGTGGTCTCACATGTAGGCAGCCCTGCTGACCTTTAAGCGGCCGTATTCTCTCCCTAGTTACCCTTTTGTCTTTAATGTAATTTTAGATTCCCTTTGGATTCTCATTAACTCTATTTGCGAAAGTTATTTCATGTCCTATTTTTTTGCCGTCATGACTTCCCTCTTCAGTATACTCCTACTGTCCTTATACTCTTCTAGGGATTCACTTGATCTCTACTGTCTATCCCTGATGTATGCTTCCTCCTTTTTCTTGACGAAAACCTCTAGTCATCCAGCATTCCCTACACCTATCAGCCTTGTCCTTCACCCTAACAGGAACATACTGTCTCTAGACTCTCATTATCTCAATTTTGAATGTTATCCATTTTCCAGCCATCCCTTTTCCTGTGAACATCCGCCCCCAATCAAGGTTTGAAAGTTCTTGCCTAATACTGTCAAAATTGGCCTACCTCCAATTTAAACTTTAACTTTTAGATCCAGTCTATCCTTTTGCATCACTATTTTAAAACTAATAGAATTATCATCACTGGCCCCAAAGTGCTCCCCCACTGACACCTCAGTCACCTGCCCTGCCTCATTTCCCAAGAGATGGTCAAGTTTTGCACCTTCTCCAGTAGGTACATCCACATACTGAATCAGAAAATGTTCTTGTGCATACTTAACAAATTCCTCCTCAACCAAGCCCTTAACACTATGGCAGTGCCAGTCTACGTTTGGAAAATTAAAATCCCCTACTATAACCACCCTATTATTCTCGCAGATAACTGACACCTCCTTACAAAGTTGTTTCTCAATTTCCCGCTGATTATTGGGGACGTCTATAGTATGATCCCAATAAGGTGGTCATCCCTTTCTTATTTCTCAGTTCCACCCAAATAACTCCTCTAGACGTATTCCCAGAAATATCCTCCCTAAGTACAGCAGTAATGTTATCCTTAATCAAAAACACCAATACCCCTCCCCTCTTCCCACCACCACACCCCTCCCCGCCCCCAACCCCATCCTTCCTATAGCATCAATGCCGTAAAACATTAAGCTGCTAGTCCTGTCCATCCCTGAGCCATGTCTCTTATAAGCACTATGATATCCCAATCCCATGTTTCTAACCATGCCCTGAGTTCATCTGTCTTGCCTGTTAGGCGTCTTGCATTGAAATAAATGCAGTTTAACATATCAGTCCTTCCTCATTCTCTGCTTTGTTCCTGCCTGCCCCAACTGTTTGACTTGCTCCTTTTCCCAACTGTATCAGTCTCGGACTCATTATCTCCCTGGGTCCCACCCCATGTAGGAAGGGAGTTGAGTTTGTGGCCTAGGCAACTGAAGACATGGTCACTAATGTAACAATTAAGAGAATTGTAGGAAACTTAGAGGCAATTCAGCCCATTGTATCTATACTGGCTATATAAAATAACCTCCCATTTTGGTCCTACTTACCAGCACCTGGTCCATAGCCTTGCCGGTTACAGTGCTTCAGCTGCATGTCCTGGCTCCTTTGAAATGAGTTGTGTTTCTGCCTCAACCACCAAACTGAACAGCAGGTTCTAAACACCCACCACTCCCTGGGGGAGAACGTCTTTCCTCCTATCCCCTCTGATCATTCTACTGATCACCTTAAATTTGTGCACCCAGTAATAGACCTCCCTGCTAGAGGAAACAAGTAATTCGTGTCCACTCTTCAATTATGTCCTTTCTGTGATGTTAACACAACTGTACACAACTCCAAATTTCCCATTCATGCCTTTCACATTTGCGCATAAATAACTTGTATATAGCGGTGTGTACGGATACCCTTACCTGTGCATGCATGGAACCAGAAATGCATACATGCACTTTGTGAGGTGTGTGGGATGGGGTCTGGACGCCTGTACAGCCCTTTTGAGGAGAGGTTGAGGACATTGGGCCTGTATTTTCTAGAAATTAGAATAATGAGAGGTAATCCAATTTTAAAAAAAAAACTTCCAAAACATTGACGGCTAGATAGGGTGGACACAAGAAGAATATTTTCATTGGCTAGATTGTGGGGAATGGCCTATAACAACGAACCCAGTCTTCGAATAGAATAAAAGGCAAGCTATTTAAGACTGAGATAAGGAGCGATTTCTTTACTTAGAGGGTAGTGAATATATCAAATTCTTTACATCTAGAGGCTGTAGAAGCTCAGTCATGGAGTACGTTTAAGACCAAGATCTTTAGATTTCCAGTTGCTAATTTCATTAAGGAATAAGAGGTGAGTGTGGGGAAATGACATCGAGGTCAATGATTGGCCAGGATCTAGAATGTAGAGCAGGCTCAAGGGGCTGAACAGTTTAATTCTATTCCTGTGTTCCTATGACTCTATGTAAAGATTGGTTTTGGTATCAGGTACACTTTCAGGAGGTAAGTTCGCACTGGTATGCCTTTGCATCAGTTGTGATGAAAGAGAAATTGGAGTATAGGCAACAACTCTATAAAAGAATTCAGAGTTGACCTTTCAATCAGTTGTACTTTTTGCATATGGTTTATTGACTCCTCTATGCCATTGCCTTGTAACATAAACTGTATGTTCTCTGTTCCATCACTGGGAAATGCACTACTGAGGTGGTACGCTCCGAATATTCTTCCAGTGTTTTGTAATATCAGGAGCATACTTGCATATTACTGCGTCTTAGCAGCTAAATTAGACCACACACTCATTATCATTTCTTTTTTACTTCCAGGATTTTAGAACTCTGCCAGCAGTTCCCACAAGGAATCACAGACCAAGTTATTCAGAATGACATGCCACATGTGGAGCCACAGAAGAGGGCAATGGCTATCAACAGACTTCTTGCAATAGTAGGCTATTGTATATTCATAAATCTCTTGTATTCATACTGTGCTTATTTTGACATCTAACTGTGAAGCACTTTGGACTGTTCGCTGAAATTTTTGTGGTGTAGTTGCTACAGTGTAGGAGTGTACATGATGAGGGGGGATGGTGATGGCCTAGTGTTATTATTGCTAGACCATTAATCTAGAAACTTGGGTAATGTTCTGGATACAAATCCTTCCATGTCAGATTGTGGAATTAAGATTCTAATGATGTCCATGAAACCACTAATTGTTGGGGAAGAAATAAAACCAATTTGGTTCACTAATGAAGTTCAGGGAAGGAAATCTATAATCTTTATCTGGTCTGGCCTACATGTGACTCCAGATGCACAATGATGTGCTTAACGCTGGACTAGCCACTCAGTTGTTTCGATTGTTATGAAATCTCAAAACGAAACGAAACCAGACGGGCTACCTGGTTTCAACCTAGGACCTGGAAACAACAATGGCAAAAACAGCCCTGTCGACCTCTCAAAGTCCTCCTTACTAACAACTGGGGCTAGTGCCAAAACTGGGACAGCTGTCTCACAGACTAGACAAACAACAGCCTGACATAGTCATACTCGTGGAACCGTACCTGACAGACAATGTCCCAGATGTTGTCATCACCGTCCCTGGATATGTCTTGTCCTACCAACAGGTCAGGCCTAGCAGAGGCAACGGGATAGTGTATTGCAGTTGGGAGGGAGTTGCCCTCAGAGTCTTCAATATTTACTGCAGACCCTGTGATGTCTGGTGGCACCAGGTCAAGCATGGGCACGAAAACCTACTGCTGGTTACCATTTGCTATCCTCCCTTGGCTGCTGACTGTGCTCTTCCATTTAAACAACATTTAGATGAAGCACTGAGGGTGGCAAGGGTGCAGAATGTACTCTGGGTGGGGGATTTCACGTTCCCTACCAAGAGTGGCTCTACAGCAGCACTACCAAGCCGTTCACACCCTGAAAGTCATATCTGTAAGACTGGGTCTGCAGCAGGTGGTGAGGGAAAAACAGGTGTGACCACATCCTCACTAGCCTGCCAACTGCAGATGCATCTATTCATGACAGTGTCAGTAACGAATTACCACACAGTCCATGTAGAGATGGAAGTCCTGCTTTCACATTCAACTTTGCTTACACTACATTGTGTGGCACTATCGCTCCGCTAAATGGTCTGAACTGAAATGAACTGATTTTAGCACCTCGAGACTGGGCATCCAAAAGGTGCTGTGGACCATCAGCAGTAGCAGAATCTTATTTGAACACAATCTGCAACCTCATGGCCTGGCTTACCCCTTATTCTACCATTGCCATCAAGCCAGGGGATCAATCTTGATTCAATAGAGAGTGTAGGAGTGTGTGCCAGGAGAAGCACCGGACATACTTTTTGGAAAAAAAAACTTGGTTATGCCTCAAAACAGGACTACTTACATGCCAAATAGTATAAGCAGCAAGTGATAGCCAGAGCTAAACAATTCCACAACCAACAGATCAGATCTAAGCTCTGTAGTCCTGCCACATCCAATCATAAATGATGGTGGACAATTAAACAATTCACTGAAGGAGGTAGTTCCACAAATATCCCCATCCTCGATGATGGAAGAGCCCAATACGTCAGTGCAGAAGATAAGTATTCACAGCAATCTTCAATCAAAGTGCCAAGTGGGAGATCCATCTATCTCCTCCAGTGGTCCCCCTACCACAAAGCCAGTCTTCAGCCAATTTGACTCACTATGAAATCAAGAAATGGTTGGAGGCACTACATACTGCAAAAGCTGTGGGCCTTGATAACATTCCAGCAATAATGCTGAAGACTTGTGCTGCAAAATTTGCTGCACCCCTAGCTAAGCTAAACCAGAACAACTACCTGACAATGTGGAAAATTGCTCAGGTTATGTCGTGTACACAAAAAGCAGGACAAATCTAACTCGCCTAATTACTGCACTACCAGTCTTCTCTCCGTTATCAGTAAACTGATGGAAGAGCAGCACATACTCAAGAATAACCTACTCATTGATGCCCAGTTTGGATTCCACAAGTCCACTCACCTGACCGTATTATAGCCTTTGTTAAAACATGGTCAAAAGAGGTGAATTCCAAAAATGAAACTGACAGCCATTGATCTAAAGATCACATTTGACCAAGTGTGGTATCAAAGAGCCCTAGCAAAACTGGAGTCACTGGGAATTAGGGGAAAGCTCTCTGCTGGTTGGAATCATACCTGGCATACAGGAAGATGGTTCTTGTTATTGGAAGACAGTCATCTCAGCTCCCAAGACATCTGTGCAGAAGTTCTCCAGGGTAGTCTCCTAGGCCCAAACACCTTCACCTGCTTCATCAATGACCTTCCCCTCCATCATAAAGTCAAAACTGGGGATGTTTGCCAATGTTCAGCACCCTTCACAATTCCTCAGGTACTGAAGCAGTCCAAATGTAGCAATAACTAGACAATATCCAGGCTTGAGCTGAAAAGTAACAAATAACGTTTGTGCCACACAATTGTCAGGCAATGACCATCTCTATTAAGAGTTAATGCTGCCTCACAGCACCAGGGACCTGGATTCAATTCCAGCCTCGGGCGACTGTTTATATGGAGTTTGCACATTCTCCCCGTGTCTGTGTGGATTTCCTCCAGGTGCTTTGGTTTCCTCCCACAGACCAAAGGTGTGCATGTTAGGTGAATGTGGCCAATAGTATCCAGGGATATGCAAGCTAGGTGGATTAGCCTAGCTAATGCAGGGTTACAGGGATAGAGTAGGGGGTGGAGTCTGGGTGGGATGCTCTTCGTAGGGTTGGTGTGGACTCGATGGGCCGAATGGCCTGCTTCCACACTCTGTGGATTCAGTGATTAATTTAACCACCGCACCTTGATATCCAGTGGTGTTACAACCTCTGTATCCCCCACTTTCAACATCCTGGGGGTTACCATAGACCAGAAACTTAATTGGACTTGCCCTATAAATACACTGGCTACAAGACTAGGTCAGTGGCTCAGAATACTGTGGCGCATAACCTGTCCACCATCTACAAGGCATCAGGATTGTACTTGCCACTTGTCTTGATGAGTGCAACTCCAACCAGAAGAAAAACTTGACACAATTCAGGACAAAGCAGCCTGCTTGATTGACACCACATCCACAAACATTCAGTCACTCCACCAAAGACACTCCATAGTGGCTATTTGTACTATCTACAAGATGCACTGCAGAAATTTGCCAATGAACCTTGGACTGCACCTTCTAAACCCATGACCTGTTGCACCCAGAAAGACAAGGGAATATCACCACCTACATGTGCCTCTCCCAAGTCGTTTAGCAATCTGACTTGGAAATAAATCGCAGCTCCTTATTCTGGAATTCTCTCTCTAATGGCATTGAGGCTCTACCTACAACACATGGACTGCAGATGTTTGAGAAGTAAGCTCACCACCATCATCTTTAAAGGCAACTAGAGACAGACAATAAATACTGGCTCGGCCAGAGCACCCATATCCTATGAGTGAAATAAACAAGTCCCAAAAACAGCAATGTGGAAATACCTAGATGACATACTTTAGTTATGATTCAAAGGATACATGTTGGCTAGACTCTGAATTGAACTTCCTGTTATTTGTTTTGAATCTGTAACATTCACCTGTAACTAGAGTGACATTTAACATTTTGTTTGAAAGATGAAAATTCGGTGATGTTGTGCTGTAGCAATTCTGCAAGTCTGTTTCCTCAGTATTTCACTGAAGAGTCGGTTTGTATTGTGGGCTCCAGTCTCGGCGGGATTTGGATGCATATTGTATTAAGAATTTATTCCTGTCATCGGGTTTGCAGTAATGTCTTGTTTGCGTTTAGGCATGTAACCTTATCAATGAAGCATTAAATTTCTGGGTATTTCCTCCAACAGCTTGAATTTTACAATGTAACTTCCAGGGTTTGAAGGATTATTATTTGCATATATAGTGTGTTGAATGGATACAGGTTGTAATTATCTTGTAATTTTACTTTTTTTAATGGGATGTGACTATTTCTAGAAGTGCCAACATTTGTTACCCATTCCTTAAAAGCCCTTGAAAAGGTGGTAGTGCAAAGTCATCTTGAACCGCTGCAGTTTATCTGGTGTTGGTACACCCACAGTGATGTTAGGAAGGGAAGAGAGTGATGGTGAAGGAATGGTAATGTATATTTCCATGTCAAGATGGTTTGTGATTTCTGTGGGGAATTTGTAAGCAATGGTGTTATGTCATCATCTGTACTTTTGCACACATGTTTTATGATGTAATCTCAGTTTCTCTGTTTGCAATTCTATTTACTAAGTGTTAAAGTCAAGAGTTTGGAAGGTGGTGTCAAAGCAAGCTTAGCTCAGCAAGTAGTAAACTTTATACAGCTTTACTGTTCATTTTGTGTGTGCTGTATTGGTTCACGAGTCTGTTTTTGTTTTTGTTCTCAACATTATTTTTTTCTGTTGTTTAAAACTATATAACTTAATCTCTCAATTGAATGGGGAAAGAATGCTTCAGTGCAACATTTCATCAAAGGTATTTTAACTGCAGCAATATTGCTGAATACATTAAGTCTTTGAGCACTTTTTCTTTTCTGTTTTATTTCATTGAGTAAGTGATTCTGTTCTTGAATCATTTCAGGGCCAATTGGATCTGCTAAGGGGTACTTCAGGTCTCCTATATCGCATAAAGGATACCCAGACTGCAAGGTGAGCAACCTGGAGTGACCTGTTTTCCTGCTTTGTGAGCTGTGAGAATATTAACTTTGCAGCACTCTGAATTTTTGGATTGTGTAAAGTACTCTGGAACAAGGGGAGCTTCTTCTGTCATTCAGTTAGATCTTGGCTGATGTACACTTTTGACTTAATTTTTCTAACTTAGCTCCACTCGTAGCTTTACACAAGTGCGTTAGGGATTTTAGGGGTTAAAAGACTAGACCAATACTTCGTTTGTTTTATTTTCTTTGACACACATCACTGATTCAAGGTTTTGAAGTGTTGTCAAATTGGGACTGATGTCAGGAAGCATTTCTTTACCTTGAGATTTATGAAGGGCTGGACTGGGTTACTGGGGATTGTGGTTAGGGCCGATGGCTGACCCTATTTAACAAGTGGCTAGTAGGGATTTTGGAGCATATTGGCCCAGTTACCACTTGAAATTGTAATGGTATATGAGGGAATATATCGTTCATGATAAAGACAGGTGAATTGAGTTAAGATTCAAATTGACTATGATCTAATTACAGACCGATGAGGTGCTGAATGGCCTACTCCTGTTATGTGTTTCCAAGTGTTCCCTTTAACCTCCTGGGAGTTACTGCAGGCTCTGATCCAATTTAGCATTACAAGAAGTTCTGTTCCAATTTTGTGCCAAACATTTTTTTGCCCCACAAAGCCCAAAACTGTCAAAAACTGAAATTGGCTTCTTCAATCAGAGAAGCTCTTGCAGCACTTTCTCCTTGTGTCTTCTCTGGGAATGCGAGTTATGTTTGACTCAGATGATCCAACTCCATTGTTAACTCCGATTTTTGTTTTTTTTTTCCTCCCATCACTGGCTCCTTTTGCCCTTCTCTTTGTTTCACCAATAGTACATTTGAGTCAGGCTTCTTTCAACGTTCTGCTCCTGATCCTTTTTACACTGTGCCATTCTTCACCCTCCATCTGATTCCCATCCTTCCTGTTGTATTCACACCAGGAATTGTCACACCATCTCCTGCACTTTAAGCTCTCAGTTCCAAGGATTTCAAAACCTCTTGCTGTTCTCTGCTTTACCACTCTGATTATCATATGTTTACAAACTGGCATAAAGTTTTCGGTTTTTGTTTCCAGCACTTGCAGTTCTTTCACTTTTTTTTAGATTTGAAAGGGCAGGTTCCAAATTAATTGAGTCTTGAGATAAGTGAAACGTATAGACTTCGGAGGAACTTGACAGAAAGACACTTGAATGACTTACTTTTGTTAAAAGGTGCTAAAATTGCACATTTTGGGCAAGGCTATTTGTATTTTTTTTTTGAGCAGGAGTATATAAACTTGCAGAGAGCATTCATCAGTGGTAAAATACACACATTGTCTCCTTTTCCATTAGTTTAATTTAAAGCAGTGGTGAAACCAGTAAAAGGTAAATTTAAGATTACTCTCCTCACAGAGATGGAGTAATCTTGAACGTGGCCCACGGTTTAAAAATAAAGGGGTAGCCCATTTAAGATGGAGATGAGGAGGAATTTCTTCTCTGAAAGGCTGGGTTGTTGGATATATTTCACAGTTGTACAAGATTTTTCATTGATATGGAAATCATGGATCAGGGAAATAAAGCTGGGGCTCCCAACATATCAGCTGTGGTCTTATTGACTATTGAGGCAGGCTTGAGGGGCTGTATTGCTTATTCCTGCTCCTAATCTGTATGATCTTGTGTAATGGATTCCCAAATTGTGAAATGAAGGAGAAGATTTAATAAAGTTTGGAACTTGGAGTTTTGGGGGAGAAATGTTCAAGTTCTTTCAGAGTGGAAGCTTCAAGATGGGCATAGTGGTTTTTCCTAGCAGTAAAATAGCATTGTGGAGTCTTTAGTATCTCCCATAACCATTGAAACAGGCAATCATGACTCCACTAGGGAGAATTCTCAAACAGAGAGACGAAAAAGTGCAGGTATATAATTCTTTGAAAATTGCGTCACAGACAGGGTGGTTGAGAAGGCGTCTAATGTTCTTGTCTTCGTGACACAGACCATTGAGTATAGGAATTGGGACATCATGTTGATGTTGTGCAGGATGTTGGTGAGGCCGCATTTGGAGTACTGTGTATAGTCTAGTTGCCTGCTGTAGGAAGGATATTATTAAATCGGAGAGCATTCGGAAAAGATTTACCAGGATGTTGCAGGGAATGGAGGGTTTGGACAGACTGGGAGTTTTTTTCACTAGAACGTAGGAGGTTCTTTGTAGAAGACTTTGTAGAAGTTTATAAAATCATGAGGAGCATAGATAAGGTGAATAGCAAAGGTCTATTTCCTAGGATAGGCAAGCTCAAAACTAGAGGGCACAATTTTAAAGTGAGAGGAGAAAAATTGAAAAGGGGCCTGAGTGGCAATTTCTTTTTTTCAGCAGGGTGATTCATATTTTATTTTAATTCATTCATGGGATGTGGGCATCGCTGGCTGGACCAGCATTTATTGCCCATCCCTAATTGCCCAGAGGGCAGTTCAGAGTCAACCACATTGCTGTGAATCTGGAGTCGCATGTAGGCCAGACCAGGTAAGGATGGCAGATTTCCTTCCCTAAAGGGCATTAGTGAACCGGATGGATTTTTCTTGACAATCTGCAATAATTTCATGGTCATCATTAGCCTCTTAATTACAGATTATTATTGAATTCAGATTCCACCATCACGCTATGGCGTGATTCGAACCCAGGTCCCCAGAACGTTATCTGGGTCTCTGGGTTAATAGTCTAGCGATAATAATGCTAGGCCATCACCTACCCAGAGATGACCTTTATGTGGAATGAACTGCCAGGGAAAGTGATTGATATGGGTACAGTTACAACATTTAAGACTTTGGATAAGTATGTGAATAGGAAAGGTTTAGAGGATGTGGGGCAATCACATGCAAGTGGGACTAGTTTGGGAAACTTGGTCAGCATGGGCGAGTTGGACTGGAGGACCTGTTTCCATGCTGTATGACTAATTGCTACTTTTTCACTTATGGACTTCTATCTTGTTCTTTTTAACTCTGATGCCATACGCTTTGGATTATTACCAGTCTTGGGTTTTTTATTTATACAATTGACAGCGCAAACCAAACCCTGTTTCTGTCCCCATTTCATGGTATGGAATATTAATACCCACCAATAATTCTCCCTTTGAGAGAATCTTTAACCCCAAGTTTGGAATTGTTGCAGTTTTTAGTGTACCTTTTTAATTAAATGTGTGGGGCTTTTATTTTTAAACAGCAAAATGAAGGGTTCTGACAATCAAGAAAAATTAGTTTATCAAATCATAGAAGATGCTGGAAATAAAGGTACAGTAGCTAAAATCCTCCAAATTAATTCACAAGCAGCTTATAATTCTTTCTTGAAATTGTGTTTTTTGATGTCTTCCACCATACCCTGAACCCTTCCTCCTTTACCCAACTCCCATTCCTACCACCACCACCAACCAATCCCTGCATACAAATGACCCTGTAGAATCCCAGCAGGACCCTGTGATCCAACTCAAAAGTACTGGTCTGAATAGTTTTTATGTGAATGTACATTTCTACTCTTTATGTTCCACCTTTAGAACTGCTCAGTTAGAATGATAGGAGCACATTGTAGAGCATGTCATGGGTTTCAGAGACACTTTGACGTGGCTTAAATGGAAATTTAAGCTGTCATTTTCCCCCGCCTTTTGTGGTTTTGGAAGGAATTATTGTTTTGGGATGGGACGAGAAACCCAACTCTCTCAATGTTGTTACTCTATTCTCTAGAGAAGAACATTTTGCTGCTCTAAGTGTAATTGTCTTATTTGTTCTAGTTTAGCTTTTAATGTGAAAAGAGAATTTCATTTCTACAGTGCCTTTCATATCCCCAGGATGTCCAAGATCACATTGCAGTCAAGTAACTTCTTTTAAAGTGAAGGCAGTATTGCAACGTCATAGTCACAGTGACTAATGTGAACACCTCCAAGTCCCTTATACTGCAATGTAATAAATGACAGATCAATTTTTTTTTTCTTTAAACAATGCTGTTGCATGAGGAATAAATATTGAAGATCTCCTTTGCTCGTCTTCAAAGTAGTGCTGTGGAATTCATTTGGTCAGATCTGAAAGACACACCTCTAACACACCCTCCACTACATTGTAATATCAGCCTAAATTATGTAATTGGATTACTGAGTGGGACTCTTGCTACTAAGTCAGAAGTTTGTGTCTGAGTGTTAGTTGCTGAGTCCCAGCTGACACTTTAAAGTTTTATTAATACTTGTGATCTAATAAAATTATCGATTAATTTCTGTACGTCATTTAAAATGGTAGAACTGGAAAGTCTGAATTTTAGTTCCTTTGACTGCGTTAGTACACCTTTTAAATTTAAATTGTTGAGTTCCAGTGATCTGAATTGATTTTTAATAGGTATATGGAGCAGAGATATTCGATACAAGAGTAACCTTCCATTGACTGAAATCAACAAAATCCTAAAGAACATGGAGAGCAAAAAACTAATTAAAGCTGTCAAATCTGTAGCTGTGAGTAAATTAACAGTTTCCTTGTTGTGTTGGGTTTGGATATATGAATATTCTTTACCTTATTGTGCTGCATCAAGATGTAAATCCTTAAATAGCATCATTCACAAACTCAGCAACTCAAAGCACTTTGCACCAATTAAATCCTTTTGAAATGTTGTAATGTGGGAAGTGTAGCTATCTACTTATGCAGAGCAAACTCCCACAATTAGCAGAGTGTTATAACCAGAACATCTGTATCATCTGAAGAATAAATGTTGACTTAAAATCTCATGTTCTTCGAAACTGTCATGGTATATTTTATGCACACCTAAGAGGGAATATAGAGGCACTATTAAATATCTTGTCCAAAAGGCAGCACTTCCTGGCAGTTGAGTAGCCCCTCAGAACTGTGTTAGAGTTTCTGTGTAGAGATGATAGGCTCAAGTCTTGAGAATGTGTCTTGAAATGTGACCTTCTGACTCAGATTGTGTGCTACCTGCTGACCTAAGGATGATGGAGCTTTTCAGCTTACAGTGGTCGCGTCCCACTTCAGAATCAGTGGTGGATTTGACATGGAGGAGCTGAAATGCAATTAAGTTTCCAGCAGCACTTACAAGGGGAATCAAAACTGAGTAGGTTCAAATGTGTTTGCAGCATTAAAGCAGATACATCATCCCATGCCACCTTTTATTGGAAGGGCTATCCGAATACACTTTCCAGTCCCCTGTTTGTTCCCTTAATGCTCAACAATGTTCCTGTCAAGTATTTATTCCAGCTTCCCTCTTGAAAGTTACTTAAAAGTATTTCTCTGACTGTTGTGAGTTAAAGAAGAAAGTGGAGTGGAAACTACTTTCAACATTTTTAAAATGTACTTGTGAAATCGACTTCTTTATCGAACTTTTCTGATCTATTACTCTTTGTATATTCAAAGTTGAGATATTTGTCTGTCCTATGGATAATTTTCTGCTTGCCTTTATATGGAGTGCCACCCCTCCCCACAAGTGCCAGGTACCTTTTAACTCGAGGTCATGTGGTCTACTGGACAGATTTTGATTGCCTGAGTGGGAATATGGAGAAAAAATTTCCAGTATGTTTTTTTTCTTCCTCCTTTCCCCATCCCCTTATTAACCTTGGATTTTTATTTTTGGTTTGTTACCTCTCCAAGAAAATGACAAGTGTTTGGTCAGCTGCCACAAATCTGTGGAGGCTAACTGGACCAACTAGTCTCTTCCTGCCTGTCATTTCCTTGTATTTTACATTCTGACTGTTTGTTTGTTTGTTTTTACCTATTCCTAGTGCTTTGTGTTTGGTTTTATTTCAGATTTCCAGCATTGCTGCTCTTACAATTTCCAGGACAAACTTTGTTTTCTAACTTTTGCTGTAGACACTTTCCAATTTGAGTCGCTGTCCCAGGTGGTCTAGGTGCTCTAACCTGCCTACGGTACAGTTTTGTCTGGCAGCATTGCAATATCCTGATTTCAGCAAATAATGTCAAAGGCTAAAGTTTGTTCCAATTATGCATTACTTTACTAAAACAATTAGCAACAACAGAAAAGATTGGTCTAGCAATAGAAAGATTGAGATGAAACTCTGCATTGCAAGTTGTTAAATTGAGCTTTGTAGGCAAATTAACTTGTGGGCTGGCACTAGATGAATAACCATAAAGCCTGTTGGACGATTGTGAAATCCCTACTGGTATGTAATGTCCTTCTGCATCATGTCCCTGCCTGGTCTGTGTTCTGAGCTATGGTTAACACTTGATGCGCTCTCATCAACTAGGATGATGACTATTGCCTTAGCAGTGTTTTCCACAAGAAACAAGAATGATTGCTTATTATCTTCTGTCCTTCCAGGCTTCAAAGAAAAAAGTATACATGTTATATAATCTGCAGCCAGATCGATCTGTGACCGGTGGAGCATGGTACAGTGACCAGGATTTTGAGTCAGAGTTTGTAGAAGTGTTGAATCAGCAGTGCTTCAAATTCTTACAGAATAAGGTATGTCCTATAAAGGTTGCTTTCTCATTCTGTCACACTCAGTACTTGTGCAGGATCAGGAAAATGTAATATGTAATGCAATAGATGTTGCAACAACAAAGTACAACAATGAGAGATCATGCTTATGACTTATACATATATCTAGTGTAGAAAATTTTGGAAGGTTACTCTATTGCTACAAAACAAATTGGCCTAATAATGATTTGGCTTCATCAGGTTTAAAAAAAAACGTAGAACAGTACAGCACAAGGACAGGCCCTTCGGCCCCACTATGTCTGTGCTTAATATGGAGTTTGCAAATGCCTTTATTGCTTCATTTTTTTTTAATCAGTCAATGTCAAGCCTAATTTCTCCTCCACTGTAGTCATATTCTTCTGCTTTTATTGTTTCTGTCAATTATACAAATTCCTCCAGTCTTTTTTCCAATCTTTTTTCCAATCTCTCTAATATCTACAAGTCACGATCAGTTCTTTACAGTACATTGTACTTTGTGAATTAGTAAATTTGCCGTGAAGGGAATGACAGGTATTTGCCACTCAACATCATAGAACACTGGTGCTAAGCTGCAAAGTACTGCTCAGTATGATTTGAACCGTGAGAGTTAGGATGTGACCTTCTGGTCTATTGTGCCTGTCTTTCTCAGTTATATTACCTTGTGCATTGTTTTGCAAGTGGTAGTGTGCTGGAAATCAAGTCCTGCTATTCTTGGTGTCATTACAAAAGTTAAATGTCTTTGGAAAGTACACAGAATTCTCCTGTTTACTTGTCTTTCAGACTTGGGTTGATGTAAAGTACTGACTAGGTTTCTGTATGTAACGAGAAAGGATACTTATTTGTAATAAATAGTTAAACTCCACATAAAAACTAATGAGCCATTGACATAAAACTCTACCAGTTAAAACTCAAGTTCCCTTACAAGCTTCCTCTACACACACCTACAGAGACAGATGGGGGAAAAAAGAAACGTGCGTTATGGATGTTGTTGAGAAGGCAGTTTTATGGTCCTTGTCCGCAGGGTCTTCTGAGATGACTCTTGTGCTGATCAGAGAACTGCTTTCTGATCTTCCTTTAGATACTGTCAGTACCCTGCAGCTGGGAAAGGTGATTGATTTACACTTATAGAGATCTTTAACTTGTCAATTAAAAGCTACGGCTTACAGCAACTAGAAAGAGGAAATAAACTAGTTATCTTCAGGCTTAAGATGCTTTTTACGCAAAGCAAAAACAGTTCCTTCTCATCCAGAGGTCTGATAGTTTGTGACAAAACATTTATACCTTCTAGGTGTTCAGCTATCTGAGAGCCAATCTCTCAGTTGTTGGCGTGCAAAAGCCTTTGTCATCAATCACTGGTCACCAAGTCCACAGACCAATCAGCTACTTGTTGTCAGCCAAAGCTCAACTTGTACATAGCCTTTGGCTTCAGCTCACCTACAAACCAGAAGTTGTGTAAATAATACTTACAATGAGTGTCAGGTTACTTGCATTTTAAATTCCAGGAATCCTTCAACAATCTTTTGTTATTTAAGACTATTCTTTTTCCCACTTTAGTCTACAGTCAAAAGTATAGATAAATATAAAGAAATGGTCTTTACATGTGTCATATACACTGCTCAAATCTCTCCAAAAGCCATTTGATCCATTGTTTTGATACAATAAACAGAATCATTGACTAAAGTCAAGGATGGAAAGTTGAGAGTGAAGCTGGAACATTCTTGTGATCAAAACAAATCCATGAAAAGGTTCTGGTCCTGATAACGCTATGTAGAGCTCACCTGTTATATGATTTGAACTCTGTCCTTGTCAAATGCAGGCAGGGTCTTGCTTTGAGAAATGGTTATCTACGATACGAGCAAGCAGCACATTCCCGTGGTTCAACTATTCTCTGATTAAAAAATCCTGATATCTAACAACTTGCATCCAAGTTTTTCAGTCTAACTTCCTTAATGTTACATTGCACATTGTTAGAAGTGTTTGGTATTTAATGTAAACCTATTCATACTTTGATAGCAATGATATAACTACAGAGAATGCTGTACACTTCACTGTAGCAAATGGAAATTTGAATCATTGCATAGAACATTATTAGTATCAATTTCCATGTAATAATGAAAACAACCATGTGTTCCCTACAGGCAGAAGTGGCTCGTGAGAGTAAACAAAGTCCAGTGGTACAAAGGAACAGTTCATTTGCGTCATCCCATGAAGTGTGGAAATACATCTGTGAATTGGGTATCAGCAAGGTATAGAACTCGAGAGTTGCATTTTTGAGTTGTCACAGAAAATATTGCCCTACTCAGTTACAAGATAACTGAGTGTCAAGGTTAACCAGGTCAGAGAGTTATAGATTCTTGGAGATGTACAGCATGGAAACAGACCCTTTGGTCCAACTTGTCCATGCCAACGAGATACCCTAAACTAATCCAGTCCCATTTGCCAGCATTTGGTCCATGTCCCTCTTAAACCCTTCCTATTCATATGCCCATGCAGATGCCTTTTAAATGTTGTAATTGTACTAATCTCCACCACTTGTTTCCCTTGGTTCCATTTAACCATGTGGTGCTGATGATTTTCTACAGGGGAACTAAATGACCTCCATTTTGGTTTACTATTATAACCGCATTATTCTTTATTGAGATATCAAAGGATAATATTGTCATTCTTTATCTTGAATACAAGTTTGAGAACCACAAAGCACGGAAAACTCTTGATTAACTCCAAGTTAATGAGATAAAATACAACTCTTCACATTCCAGTGCATGAGTGATGTGGACTCCTTGTGATATGATTTGGTACCTATATTACTCATCACTGCATCAAGTAACATGTACCTGAGCTTTCAACACCATAATAACTTCATAATTATTGTTAAACTCTAACCAGCCCTGAAAGAGCTAATTCTGTATTTGCTGTATGCAGAGTGCCTCCTTAATAATTTCTGTATCTTTTACAGAATGTTGTTTCAACTTTTACTGTAATCCAATTGTCTAATTTGTTATCTGAAAATTTAGGTTAAAAGTGAGATTTAAGTGTTTTCAGCATCCTGGTTTGCTGTGTCTGAATGCGTCAGTGTAAATAGTTAGTTAACTGACATCATTGCTGTTACACCAAACCGTTCCCACTAACAGTATGTAAACTGCCATTGAGAAGAGGGACATCATACCACACGATTGCTAGATCTTCGTGTGCAGCTTACTCTAAGGTAATTTGAAGAGCACTATTGCTCTGTCATTGACTGTAAAATAATGGCAATTGTTGAGGGTTAAATATTAGCCAAGTCTTAGGGAGAACTCCCTTCTCTCCTTTCAAATGATTTAAGGGATCTTTCACATCTACTTGTGAAGGCAGACATGACCTTGGATGAATATATCACAGTTTCTGTGAACAAGCCCTTGAAAAACTGCTTTCATACATCTACTAAACTTACAATATGATGGAAACATGGATTGCTGCACAAACTGCCCCTGTTCTTATCATGTACCTAACTGCTGCGAACATTGCAAAATAATAGAACAATGTAGATCTACTGATGGGACAAAGTCAGCTCCTCAAAAACACTTAGTAATGATCTCCCACAAGACCGTATGGCATTGACTGTTTTTAAAATCCACATCAGCTACATACCCACCCCATCATTTACCTCTACCAATAATATTGCATTGATAATTCGGACAAAATCTTTCCAGGATACAGAGACCACACTAAACTTTACCTGTCAAAATGGATGAATGGTTGTACAAGTTGAAGGCAACCAAGTCCATTGCCTCTGCATTCCACCTCAAACCAAAAGCCACCCAACATCCTAAAAGTTGCCTGGGGAGAAAAATGCAGCATGACTCGACTCCCACCTGCCCTGGAGTGATTATTGACAGATCCTTAACTTATCATCACCACCTCCAACAAGACCAAGACACAAGTGAATTTCATTTGCAAGAGCACTGGCATAACTGGGTTGCAAATCCACTGTCCTTTCTTCTACTTCAGCATTGCTCTGGGCAGCTTGACAGCTGGGTACTGTTGGTCTTCGAAAGACTTTGATGTATGTGTAGTGGTGTGAATAATTTGACTCTCATGGTCAAGTTATGAGATGAAATTTAATAAATTAAAGTTATTACCAGTAAACTAGAAGGTTGATGTGATTTGATATGAAGGGGAGCAGATCTATTGAAATACAGAGAAATTATTTCTATGGTTGCTTCGTATAGGACTAAAGTGCGTTACCTTAAAATAAGACCCTAAACTTCAGGATTGAAATTGGGAACATTTGCAAGTGTAACAGGTGGTAGACATTTGAAACTGTAATTGCCATTTAAGAAAGAAAGTTAGATCAATTGTTTAACTTTAAAGCTGAGATTTTTGCCAACTAATATTGTTAAGGAATGTCGATAAAGACAGGTACCTGGAGTTCAATTGCTCATCAGTGACTAAACTCATTAAACCTGTTTTGTTATTCAAAGGGTTAATGGCCTAATCCTGTTCCTGTAAAAAGGACTTAAACTCATAACCATCTATATTTTGGCATTAAACAACAATATCCTCTGATTTCATAGTTCACTGGTGCTGTTGCTATTTGAAGAAAATTATTGTGCTAATCTTATTTTAAAGGAACCACTGCTAAAAGTTAATGGGTTGGATCGTCACTAAAATGGTGGTTGAATTGGGCTAATGCTAAATTAGCTTTCGCTCCAACAAACATCTCAACTGAACAAAAATGTCAAGTTTTCTGTTGTGTCCTTGAATCTTCCCTGTTGCTCAGTGACTCTGAATAACTTCAATGGCTTTTGCAACCTTAGGTGGAACTCTCTATGGAAGACATTGAAACCATTCTGAATACATTGATATATGATGGAAAAGTGGAGATGACCATCATAGCTGCAAAGGAAGGGACTGTTGGGAGTGTGGATGGACAAATGAAGCTGTTTCGGGCGGTTAATCCCATCATTCAGCCCACTGGCTTGATGCGGACACCTTGTGGAATGTGCCCAGTAAGTACGTTCTTGTAGGCTAATTATGTGTTATCTTTTTAGTTACATCTTAGCTACTCTCTCCTACTTGGTTTAGAGAAATAAATTGCTATAATTGAAAACAACCACTATTACTTTATCAATTGTGGTGTCACAACATTGATTAAAAATAGTGTGCTGGAAGTTGATCCTTACAAGTCATCACAAGTGTGAAATATTGCCAATTTAAGCTCAAGGATAGCTTAAGCCTGACTGTGATCACTGTCTAAGATAAGGGAAATTCTCTCCAGATTTCATCAATGATGAAGACAACAAAGACTAATTTATTATGGCAAACTTATCTTTTAACGTATGATAAATATTATTAATTAATTTGCAAATTTAAACTAAACCCCCATTAAATCCAAGCGTGTACATTGACCCAGCGACAGTGAAGGAGAACTTCATTTGGAGACTTGGAGAACTTGCAGGTGGTGGTGTTCCCATGTATTTGCTGCCCTTATCCTTCTAAGTGGAAGTAGTCATAGGTTTGGAAGATGCTGAGCAAAGATCTTTGAAATTTTGCAGTGTATCTTGTAAATAGTAGCAGCTATGTTTACTGAGTGTAGGTGGTGGGTGTATGTGGATATGCTGCCAGTCAAGAAGGCTGCTTTGTTCTGGATGGTGTCAAGCTTTGAGTGTTTTTGGAGCTACATCCCTCCAGGCAAGTGGTGAGTATTCTGTCACACTGCTGACTTGTGCCTTGTAGATGGTGGACAGGCTTTGGGAAGTCAGGAGGTGAATTACTCACTGCAGTATTCCAGCCTCTGACCTGCTCTTGTAGTCACTCTTTCTGTGGTGAGTCCAGTTGAGTTTCTGGTCGATGGTAACACCATGAAGGGCAGTGGTAAGATCATCTCTCATTGGAGATGGTCAGTGCTTGATATTTGTATGGTGCAAATGTTACTTGCCACTTGTCTGCCCAAGGCTGAATATTGTCCAGATCTTGCTGCATTTGACCACAGACTGCTTCAGTATCTGCGGAGTCGCAAATTGTGCAATCATCGGCAAACATCCCCACTTTAGATCTTACGGTGGAGGGAAGGTCATTGATGAAGCAGGTGAAGGTGGTTAGGCATAAGATACTACCTTGAGGAACTTCTGAGATGTACTGGAGCTGAGATGACTGACCTCCAACAAGCACAACCATCTTCCTATGTACCAGGTATGGTTCCAACCAACGGAGAGCTTTCCCCCAATTCCCAGTGACTCCAGTTTTACTAGGGCTCTTTGATGCCACACATAGTCAAATGTAGCCTTGATGTCAAGACCTATCATTCTCACCTCACATTTGGAATTCAGCTCTTTAGTCCATGTTTGAACCAAGGCTGTAGTGAGGTCAGGAGCTGAATGACCCTGGCAGAAGCCAAGCTGGACATCGCTGAGCAGGTGCCACTTGATAGCACTGTTGACGACATCTTCCATCAATTTACTGATCAAGAATAGACTGGCGTGGTAATTGGCCAGGTTGGATTTGTCCTGCTTTTTGTATTTAGGACATCCTTGGTTATTTTCTACATTATCAAGTAGATACCAATATTGTAACTGTACTGGAACAACTTGGCTAGGGGTGCAGCAAGTTCTGGAACACAAGTCTTCAGTATTATTGCCAGAATGTTGTCAGCGTCTGTAGCCTTTGTAGTATCCAGTGCCTCCAGTCATTTCTTGACATCGCAGGGACTGAAATGTATTGATTGAAGACTGGTGTCTGTGATACTGGGGACCACTGGAGGAGGCTGAAATTGGTCATCCACTTGGCATTTCTGGCTGAATGTTATCGCTTCAGCCTTATCTCTTGTGCTGATGTGTTGGGTTCTTCCATCATTGAGAAAGGAGATATTTGTGTAATCACCTTCTCCAGTGAGTTGCTTAATTGTTCATCACAATTCACGACTGGATCTGACAGAGCTTGGTTCTGATCTGTTTGGTAGCTTCACCAGGTTAACACCTAATTTTTAGGCATACCCAGTGCTGCTTCTGGCATGCCCTCCTGCACTCTCCATTGAACTAGGGTTGACACCCTGGCTTCATGGTAGTGGTTGGGGGCTGGTGGAATGCCAGTCCTGACATTGCAGATTGTGCTGGAGTTGCTGCTGTTGATGTCCCACACCGTCTAATGGATGCCCAGTCCGTTCAAAGTCTGTCCCATTTAGCACAGTGATAGTACTGCACAACAATGGAGGGTTTACTCAATTTGAAGGTGGGACTTTGTCTTCACAAGGACTGTGCAATGGTCACTCTTCCTAATGCTGTCATGGACAGCTGTATCTACAGCTGACAGATTGGTAAGGATGAGGTCAAGTATGTTTCTCCTTTATTGTCTGTTCCCTGTACCAGTCCTTTAGGGCTGGACCAGTAGTGCTGATTCCGAGTATTCTTGGTAGTGGACTTTGAAATCCCCCACCCAGAGTACATTTTGCACCCTTGCCACCCTTAGTTCTTCCTCTAAGTGTTGCTGAAATGGAGAAGTACTGATTGATCAGCTGAGGGAGGATGGTACGTTGTAATCAGCAGGAGGTTTCCTTGCCCATCTTTAACCTAAAATCTTGAGACTTCGTGGGTCTACAGTCAACATTGAGCACTCCTAGACATCTCCTTCCCGACGGCATTCCTCTGCTGGGTCTGTCCTGCCATTGGGACAGCATATATCTGGGGATGGTGCTAGTGGTGTCTGGGCCATTGTCTGTCTGTAAGGTATGATTCCATGAGCATGACTGTGTCAGGCTGTTGCTTGACTAGTCTGTGAAACAGCTCTCTCACTTTTGACACTAGCCGTTGTTCCCCCACCCCCGTGCGTGTTAGTAAGGAGGACTTTGCGGGGTCAACAGGGCTGTTTCTGCCGTTGTCTTTTCCAGTGCCTAGGTCGATGCTAGAAGGTTTAATTTCTTTCTTGAGATTTTGTAGCAATTACTATAACTGAGTGCGTTGCTAGACCATTTCAGAGGGCAGTTGAGAGTCGACCACATTGCAGTGGGTCTGGAGTCAATCTAAGTCTAAGGATTTCAATTTTTGATGTGTCTTAGGAAAATAACTTATTCTCTTCTTGCTGTGCTTCAGTTTAGATTAAGTTTTTATTGCTGTGTCTGATGTATGCAACACCTTGTAATTCATTTAATTTCTTATACATATCTTTGTAGCCCTCTACAGTTTGTCAAGAGCTCTGCCTTCCTCCAACTCTCGTGTACCCTTATGTATAGCAGCCGTGCCATGAGGCACTTAGACCCTAAATGTTGGCATTACCTCCTAAACCTTTCAGTTCCCACTCTTACGTGATTCTCCTTGTATTAAGTCTGTTCTTAGCCCTATGATCTTGTAAGCAAAAGGCTTCTTCATTGGCACTCGCCATTGTTCTCTCAGACTTACTTGAGGGTATAGTGGAAGTGTTTAGCTGTGCTGGCAATGACTCCTTTTAAAAAGGAATTAGAGTTGTCTGTTCTTCGCTGCTGGCAGACTGATCTCTTAGGACTGTTGTCACAGCAATGGAGTAAGTGTTACGGTTGAAAGGGTACAGAGCTATTGTTAAAAAAACGTTGGCAGAGCTTTTAATGACAGCAAAAAATGTCGATAACAGTAGTTTCAAATCCTTCCCCTCCTCCCAAAATGATTCTTGAACTTTGTATTGTATAGATCAAGTTTTTTTTTCAATTGGCTATTTTGCTGCAAGTAACACTACATTTTTGAGATTAAAATTGTAACTGTGTAGAGAAAACATTTCTATCATGCTTTAACAAAGAAAATTGTCCCAAGGTTCTTGATAAATCAGAAGCCAAAGGAGGAGATATCGGAACAGAGGTTTAGTAAGGGAATTCCTGAGTTTGGACATTAGACTGACGGTACTGCTTTTTTAGTAAAGAAGACATGTTATTCTTGCTAGTTTTTCATCCAGAAACCTAAAGAACCATTTCCAGTTGTATGATTTTTCCCTCTCCTTCATTTACGTAGCCACTGGCAGCCCTTTGAGTTGCTAATATACTGGATGATCTTCCCCTTCCCAACCTTATGCAAACTGTCAGAAGGCACAAACTCTGATCCAAGATGATTACTTGTGGGTTCAACACTCAATGCTCAGTAATCAGGCTGTTTTTCTCTTATTTAAATATAAGTTCTAACAATACAATTATAACTGCACTTGAAAATGTACTTCATTGGCTGAAAAGGCACACAAAGGTTTTAAAACAAGTAGTCATCTTCCAGAGAAACCTAGTGTTAAACAGATCACCTGCAGATTTAAAAAATACGCAAAGAACTGTGGATTCTGGAAATCGGAAACAAAAACAAATTGCTAGTAAAACATAACAGGTCTGGCAGCATCTGCAGAGAGAAAGCAGAGTTAATGTTTTACGTTTTAATGAAACCTTTAACTCTGCTTTCTCTCTGTGATTTTAAAGTTGCGTCGCAAGTAGGCAGTGTGATGAAGAAGGCGTTTAGCATGCTTACCTTCATTGCTCAAACTATTGTATATAGGAGTTGGGATATCATGTTGAGGTTGTTCAGGACATTTGGTGAGGCCACTTTTGGAGTACTGTGTACAGTTCTGGTCACCTTGCTATAGGAAGGATATTATTAAATTAGAGATGGTAAATTTTTTGTGAACCAGGATGGTGCCGAGACTGAAGTGCTTGAACTATAAAGAGGCTGGATAGGCTGGGACTTTTTCCACTGTGCTATGTGACCCTATGACTAGATGCTGCCAGACCTGCTGTTTTTCTATTTTTGTTTCAGATCACCCCAACATAAATTGTTTTTCCCCCAAAAGCACACAGTTCACCACAATATTAAGCAGAAGGATTTGTCTTTAATTTTTGAGTATATGCTGATGTTGCACCCCTTGGTTGATTTGTAGGCTTTTGTTGGTTCTGTGTATTGGTGTCTTATTCTGTTTTTATTCAATTCCTCTATTCATATTTTCCAGGTATTTGACGATTGCCATGAAGATGGGGAGATTTCTCCATCGACTTGTGTTTACATGACCGAGTGGCTAGAATTCTAGCCAATGTTGGCATAACAAAGAGAGACTTTAGAGTTCGATTGTTGGACCATTTAAAACTGTTGGCAGTGTGCCTGGATGAATTTTCATTGTGTACGGCACAGAGATAGGCCATTCTGCCCCATCTGGTCTATGACAGTGTTTAGGCTCCAAGACTCTTTCAATCCCTCTTCAGAAAACCCCTTCTGTTCTTTTCATCATACTTTCCCAGCTTCCCCTTCAAGATAATTAATGGAACTGAGGGTGGAGCTAGGCCCACATTGGCAAGACATGAGAAGAATTGAATCTGCAGTGTTTTGAATGTGAGATTATGAAAACTGAACTGGAGGTTTTTTTTAATATAACATTTAATTTATTTTGTATCCAAACATTTCTGGTTTAAATTTTACTTAGCAGTTATCAGGACAATTAAATAAAATGTTTACTGTTCAAAATGTTTGAATTTGACTTTTGAGGTTGACTATCACAAGTATTCAGCTCTGTTTTTGCAGCTATAACAACTTTTATTTTTATGATACCTTTACTGCAGTAAAACATCTTGGCATTTCACAGCAGGATAATCCAGGCAAAGTTTGACAGTTAACCGAGGAGACATTTGTGTATTTGAAGAAAATCTTACTCAATTTAGCAGGTTTGTCAGGAGTATCTTAGTGAAAAGGAGTCGATAGGTTTAACAAGGGAATTCAACAGCTTTTATCTAGGCAACTGAGTGTGCAGCCACCAATGGAGAGGTGAAGAAAATCAAGGATACGTAAGAGGTCTGAATCGGAAGAATGCAGATTGAAGTCACACACCAAAACAGACTATTCATCCTAACAACAAAAACAAAATTCCTGGAGAGGCTCAGCAGGTTGGCAGCATCTGTGAGGGGAAAAAAACAGAGTTAATGTTTCGGGTCCGGTGACCCTTCCTCAGAACTGATGGTGGCTGGGAAAACGTCAGTTTACTTGCAGAAAATAGGGAGGTGGGTGGGGTAGGGAGTACACGATAGGGCCCAAAGAGAGACAAAGACAGTTGGACAGACAAAGGAGTTGCTAACAATCAGGCTGGGAGGGTGAATAGTTGTAAATGGGGACTGTTAGTGACTAACAACAGGGGATGTGTAATGGCAGGCTATGTGATAACAAGGTCTGGTGTGTGGGGTAGGGGGCTGGGACATGGGAGAGTTTAGGCCCTAAAATTATCGAACTCCATATTGAATCTGGAGGGCTGTAGGGTCCCCAAGCGGAAAATAAGGTCAGTCAGCCTGTGCAGAGAAATAAAGTTGATGCATTAATCTTAATGACCATACATCATAGAACATAGAACGTTACAGTGCAGTACAGGCCCTTCGGCCCTCGATGTTGCATCGACCTATGAAACCAATCTGAAGCCCATCTAACCTACACTATTCCATTATCATCCATATGTTTATCCAATGACCATTTAAATGCCCTTAAAGTTGGCGAGTCTACTACTTTTGCAGGCAGGGCATTCCACGCCCTTACTACTCCGAGTAAAGAACCTACCTCTGACATCTGTCCTACATCTATCACCCCTCAATTTAAAGCTATGTCCCCTCGTGCTAGCCATCACCATCCGAGGAAGATGCTCCCAATGTCCACCCTATCTAATCCTCTGATCATCTTGTATGTCTCTATTAAGTCACCTCTTAACCTTCTTCTCTCTAACAAAAACAGCCTCAAGTCCCTCAGCCTTTCCTCATAAGACCTTCCCTCCATACCAGGCAACATCCTGGTAAATCTCCTCTGCACCCTTTCCAATGCTTCCACATCCTTCCTATAATGCGGTGACCAGAACTGTACGCAATGCTCCAAGTGCGGCCGCACCAGAGTTTTGTACAGCTCAACATGACCTCGTGGCTCCGAAACTCAATCCCTCTACCAATAAAATAAAACCTAACACACCGATTATATAAATGAAGTGCTTTAACAAGCATTTTGTCTTAACAGTTTGTCTCCTAATTATGCTGTGACTTCTTCTACATTAGAACATGAAGAATGACTACAAAAAGAGACATGAAGGAAGGCATTGAACAACATGGATTCATATCATCTCTTCACAAGATATTGTATTATAAAGGGTGAAAGTTTCTACAAAAAGTAGGCAAAGTAAGTGTTGGTCCCTTTAGAAGGTGAGAGACTTAGGAATTAATAGTGGACAACAAGGAAATGGTGGTGGCGTTGAATAAGTATATTGTATCTGGCTTCACAGTAAAAGACACAGACAGCATCCCTAGAAAAGTAGAAAAGCAAGAAGCAAAAACTTAAGGTAATCAATCACCAAAGGGAAAAAAATGAGGCAATTGGAACTGTAGGCTCAAGTCCCTGGACCTGGATGGAGATATTGGATGTGTTGCTTGTAATTTTCCAAAATTCCTTTTGATTCTGCAAAGGCATTAATAGGCTAGAAAACTGCAAATGGAACACTATTATTCAAATATAAAAAAGATACAGCCAGCAGGATACTACAGGACAGTTAATGTATGTCATTGGGAAAATGATAGAGTGCATTATTTCGAGATAAATTGGGGATAGAGGCTTTGTTAGCTGGGCCAGCATTTATTGTCCATCCCTAGTTGCCCTCAGTGGATGATGGTCAGCTACCTTCATGTACCTCTGTAGTGCATTTGTTGTAAGTGTGTCCCCAATACTCTTAGTTTCAGGATTTTGACTCAGCAACCACTGAGGAATAGTGAAACATTTCCAAGTCAGGGTGCTAAGTGGCTTGCAGAGGAATTTGCAGGTGGAGGTAGTACCTGGATATAAAGAAAATCATAATACAATCAGGCAGAATATGATTTTGTGAAGGAACTTATGTTTGACATTTATTATAATTCTTTGAGGGTGTAAAACACGGTGAATAAAGAATTAGTAGTTGTGGTGTATTTGGATTTTTCAGCATGCCACAAAAAAGGTTACTGCGCAAGGGAAAGAGGCATGGTGTTGTCAGTAATATATTAGCATAGACAATGGCTGATTTAACAGGATAAATAGCTCATTTTCAGGTTGGTGCTTGGGCTGTTTTTTTTCTATTTATTCATGGGCTGTGGGCATTGCTGACCAAGTCATTCCTTAGTGCCCTGAAGAAGGTTTTGGATATTGCTGGCCAAGACATTGCTAATTTACCCCGAAGAAAGTTATAATAAAAACTGAAAGAACTGCAGATGCTGAAAATCAGAAACAAAAACAAAGTTGATGGAAAAGCTCAGCAGGTCTGGCAGCATCTGTGAAAGAGAAAACAGAGTTAACGTTTTGGGTCCGGCGACCCTTGCTCAGAACTCAAAGTTATGGTAAGTTGCCTTCCACTGCAGTTCTTGAGGTGTAGGACACCCATACACCAACCTTGACGACAGCGGCCTGGACTTTATCTTAGCCCCTGCTTCCCAAGGTGCTTCATCACGTGCTGGTGTGTGACATCAACGGAAGTGCGGTTCCCAATACCGGATGGGGCGGTTGCCTGGTAACCAGGGAACGCGGGCCTCACCGAGAGGCCGGAGACACAGAAGAGAGGTCTGTCTATGCCCAGGTTCAACACGTTTAATATTTAGGGGACTATCATCCGAAATCCAGAGGGACGAGTTGACAAAGAGCTTGCAGGTCAGGGGTTATGGGTTCGAGATTAGGCTGAGAGGTCGAACGTTATTTATTTATTTATTCACTAAGTCACCGACCTGGAGGAGAATGTGGTTTTAATTTACTTTTACAACTCGGTGTGACGAGGAGGTTTGTTTTAAACGTCGCACGTTTATACAAATGAAGCTTCATTTTTATTTCCGTCCTCAAGTTGGTTTAATTCGCCTTTGGGTGTGCCGATTGGGAGAGGACATTGAGATTTACTGTTTTTGTTTAACTATAAGAGACACGTTTCAGTTCATGTGCAAATTGGTGAATTGGAATGCAGCTGGGAGGATTTTAGTGGTTAAACCCTTTCACTACCCATGTAACCCATTGAATGAGATGTGCAGATATGCACCGAATATTATGAGCCTACAGAGTTTTCCCGTCGTCAGTAGAGGTCCTGTACTGGATTCACATCCCAATCTGAGAGTTCCACTGATGATTAAAATAGTAACACTGGAACTTTAGAATCATGGCAAAAAAGTCACATGGAAATAACAATACACAGCACAGTGCACACAGGTTCCCGAAACGTGGAAGGCAACTTACCACAACTTTGAGTTCTGAGGAAGGGTCGCCGGACCCGAAACGTTAACTCTGTTTTTTCCTTCACAGATGCTGCCAGACCTGCTGAGCTTTTCCAACAACTTTGTTTTTGTTCTTGATTCACAGCATCCGCAGTTCTTTTGGGTTTTTATACAGTGCACACAGGTATCTAGCCAAACATTTCCCTTTTACGAAAAAATGTGTAGTATCATTTCAACTTAAATCTATAAAATTGATCGTGCATGAACATAAAGTTCTCTTTTATTCTGTCCAGTTTTGTGTCCCCCATATATGTATTGCACTTTTTTTTTTGAAGTAATCGGGTTGTATTATGGAGTTTTCAACCGTCCATTTGGTTCCTGGGGTGAGGTTGCTTTTCTGGGGAATGTCATTCCCATGGCAAATGTTGCTGCTGTTCAGTTGCATTTGTTGGGGAAAAGTTGATATCTGGTATTGAAGGTTGTTCAGTTCCTTGTTCTATCAGCAGAATCAAATCTACTGTGTAGAGTTGTTTTTTCTCCTTCCAGTCAACATTCTCTATGGCTGGCTTGTTAGCATTGGTCCTCTATTGATTGGCCAATTCAACATCCAACCAGATGGATGCATAGCAACATCTCAGTGTTAATTTCCTACGGTGTCCTTAGAACAGTAACTAAGTTGCGTTATCCTCTAGGCCAGTTCCCAACACCAAACATGTTTTTTCATTATCTTCTTCTTTGAAGCAATCTGCTATTCAAAGTTCAAGTCTTAAACTCAACGCCTTCTCTAAAATAAAGAGGAAAAATATGGAATAAAAATAGTGAGGGTCTCTACAATATTAGGTCCACTGTATTCACTGTGTGAATGCCCTGATTACTGAAAGGTCAAGTGATATCACTGGAGGTCAAAAACATAAGCAGATCTAATTTCCAGGAGACTGAATTGTAGCTAACTGTGATGACACATCAGTTCCTGTGAGAGTGAAGATGTTTGCTCCAAGCTTCATCCATGGTCTGTTTGGCATGTCATTTTGTTACCAACTCTTTAGCCTGTTTAACTTGACGTTCATTACAAGCACAACACTGGTTGTGTCCTATTGCTAATGTTTGCCCTGTGGAGCACTTCCCTTATCTTCCTCAGACTAGACTTGATTGCCTCATAGCTTGCAGGGGAGGCAATGACCTAGTGGCATTATTGCTGGACTATTAATCCAGAGACCCAGGTCATATTCAAATCCTGCCATGGCAGATGGTGGAATTAAGAGGAACTGGCTTGAAGGTAGAAGACAGAGTG